GGCAGCTGAGCGGCGGACGGGGGGTGTGGTAGCCGGGCCTTCCTCCGGGCCGCGTTTGCATCGGGCTCGGTGCGCCGGCTGCCGAGTTAACTACCTGCCCCCCGGAGAAACTCGGTGAAGCTTGGACAGTGCTTTTCTGGAAGGAACAAGCAGCTTTTAATGGTGATTTGTCTCAAAAGCCACTTGCCACTTGAGATGGCTTGGAAGTAATTTACTGTCAGGGTCCACGTAGGTCTGCACAGATTTCTCTGTGCAGAAGGCTCAGGAGAAAGCCTTCTATATCTTCGCTGTAGACTTGGTAAAGGAGACTGACCCTGCCTGTATGGAGGAAGAAGCACAGGTGAATGTCATGAGCCATTTCTTCCTAGGGCTGAATATTCCTATCCAGCACTGTGTAAGCAGTCTGGAAAAACTGTTGATTGCTATTTTTCAACAAAACATGCTCATGTATTATTACTGACTTTGTGTTGCCACTAGATGGTTAATATAAAAGAATAAAAATTACACAACTCTTCCTCCAACATTTTAATCATTAACTCCAAATGAAATGTTCTGACAATTTGGAAGTAGTGGGAGTGACGATTCCTTCTGCCCCCTGGTCTCCTTTGGTTTTACATCTTAATCCTGTTCTTTGAGCTGAGATACTTGAATCTGCATTTTGCCCATTATCATTAATATTACAGAGCTACCAGTGTCATAAAGGATTGCACTTTGTGTGCAAAGTGCAACACTACTCTGTGTTGTCTGCTTATTGCTTTAAAAAAATAACACTCCTTTTTTGAAGAATGCTTTACACAATTCTGAAGGGTGGACAGATCCCAGCGTCAGGAGGGTTGGCAGAGATGCATCTTAAGACTTTCATTTAGTGGCCCAAAGCCTGGTGCAGAGATTGCCCAATCTAACAAGCTACGCATTTCTACATACTTGTATAGGAAGCAGCAAAACAGCCATCTGTAGCAGTCACGTAGTAGCAGGCACCTAGATGTCAAGTTTTATTGAGATATTCTTTTCACTTCTTTAACAATTTTAGGTTTTACCTGTATGGACTCCAGACGTTGTTTTCTGTTTATATTTGATTTCCTGAAAACAAGAGGTGAAGTCAGTAGTATGAAGCTTACTGTCCATAGAACAGCTATAGTAAGGGCTAGGTTTATTCCTGCATCATGTATATAAAGTTGTTTCTTCCAAGATGTGGGAGTGCTGGTCTAAATGCCATAGTGAGTACGTTCATACAGGCTCATTAACAATCATGCATTCGGTGCTCAGTTGTCTAGACAAGTCTGCATCAACTAGATGGTTGCGCCATGCATAGTCTGCTTCTGAAATGTAGCTGTAAGAACTACGTAATTGCCAATGCACAACAATCACTATGCAGACCTATACTTTTGAAAGCAGAAGCATTCTTTAGTGATGAACATCTTCTCTGATGTGCAACTATGCTTGCACTCCTCTTTTAGGTAGTATCCTAGAGAAATATTGACCCAATAGGAGTAATCAGTTGCATTTTAAAGAAATGGTCAATCTTTGTACATGCAAGATTTAACGTGTAACTTGTTTGAAGCTCACTTTAACATTTTCAAGGCTTCTGTAATACCCAGATCTTACAAAAACCTAATTGCTGTGATGCAATACCTCCCTGCACTCTTCACATACAGGGGGGACACTTTTATCTGCCTTTTCTGTGCCCCCCCCCCGCCCCCATCTCTCTCTCAAAACATTGCAGCATTACTGTCTAGCACATAATGATCTCATGAGAATAGATTGTATTTTTTTAGATGTAAAGGCGCTTGTGGCTGCATATGGAAGATGTGAAAGTTAGTATTAATCAAATAAAATATTAAAAACATTTACTGATAATGCAGTAGAAACAACAATGGAAAGTATTTGCTTCAGGCAGACAGTGATACTGAGCATTGCTGCAGTTAATAACTCCCATCATCCACAAAAACTGCCCGTGCAGATTTTCATTGCAGTTTAGCTTAGGTACTTACTTGATGCGTGAAAACTGATAGCTCATCAGAAGCTTAAAGGGATCTGTCTATCTTTTCAAGGTATTGGTGCATCAGGGGTGTATTGCTGTCCTCAGTAGGGAACAAAAAGCCTGGGTGATCTGTCCATTGTTGCACAGAATACTTGTGATGCACCAGGATTTTAGTCCAGGAGCTTCATATAACAAGGTCTTGTAACAAAAATCCTGCAGACTTTAATGCAGTAGTTACTACGTATTTGTGAAAGTCAAATACACCTCTGAACTGCTGTAATGGCTTCAGTTTTTCTACGAAATAGTGATTTCGCTGAAATCCACTCTTGACTTTGAGAGCTGTAAGCGGATGTTCATTTAAAACTCAGCTGTGTGCATCTCATTTTAATGTATTTTTGTCAAGCTGTGTAAGGACTAAACCTGAACAAGGAATAGTTAAAATTGCACTGCATCTTCAAGATTTGTACTTAAAATAGTCCCATATCTTATTTGTAACTTTAACTGTAGTGCAATTTCTTCTTATTTTGGTTAGATAATTGTCCCAATGTCTATAGACTGTAATTGCTTTTTCTTTCTTAGGGAACACTCTTGAGCTTCATCATGGGAGCTGTAGTAGCTGATGACGGTCCATCTGGTGTTAAAGCCCCTGATGGAGGTTGGGGCTGGGCTGTCCTTTTTGGCTGTTTTATCATCACAGGATTCTCCTATGCCTTTCCTAAGGCAGTTAGTGTCTTCTTTAAAGAACTTATCCGGGAATTTGGCATTGGATATAGTGACACTGCATGGATTTCCTCCATTCTGTTGGCCATGCTTTATGGAACAGGTAGGTAGTTGTCTGTTTTTGAAACAGTATTGCATCATACAATGATGTTTGTAAATCATACAGCCATTTACAGCGTGAATCATGATTGCATATCATTACTTGTGTGCAAGTAGGCATTCCAAAGAAGAATTACTATTAATCACATAAATGCAAGTTATTTAAGCACATGCAGCTTGCAGATAAAATTAAATCTCTGTAACTCAGTAGCTACCAAAGATGATGAAAAAGAAAAGTTGCGTGGTACTCTGAAGACGAAAAAGACTAAGTATTTGACTGTAGAGGAAAGAACATTCTTCCGGATTGGCCTGACAGTATGGACAAAGTATGGAAAGAATCACAGAATCATTTAAGTTGGTAAAGACCTTTAAGATCATCAAGTCCATCTGTAAACATAACACTGCCAAGTCCACTGAAGAAGAAATGAAACGTGACATAAAATCAATTGCAAAAATTGGTTTACCTTAACAACTGTAATTTGCTCTTCTTGCCTAGGTCCACTCTGTAGTGTATGTGTCAATCGCTTTGGCTGTCGCCCCGTCATGCTGGTGGGTGGCCTTTTTGCCTCAATGGGGATGGTGATAGCCTCCTTCTGCACGAGCATCGTTCAGATCTATCTAACTGCAGGTGTGATTACTGGTAAGTAGCATGCATGGTTGAAAATGAGTTAGCTGATGTCTTAGCTTTAGGTTGAAGTTTTGTATAAGCGACAAATACCTAAATCATCAGGTTCATCCAAATGGGCTTTTATAAAGATGGCAGATAAATCTGGATTTAAACTGTCTTTTTTTTTTAATGAATGTTAAGTTTTTTGGTATGTTTAGTAGCCACTGCTGTAATCAGTGAAGTGTAACCATAGAGTGGAGGCAGAATGTTTTTACAAATGTTATCTTAGAATTCTTTTGTCCATTTGAAATAAAACTCAAAAGAATCAGAAAAACTGTAATTAGATTTTTTTAACAGTGATATTATAGGCGAGTATTAATTTTTATGTACCCTCTGTTACAGGTTTGGGTCTGGCACTAAACTTTCAGCCTTCACTCATCATGTTAAACCGTTACTTTGACAAACGCCGGCCCTTAGCCAATGGGCTATCCGCTGCTGGGAGTCCGGTGTTTCTTTGTGCTCTCTCACCATTGGGACAGATACTACAGCATGAGTATGGCTGGAGAGGGGGATTCCTTATACTGGGTGGGATGTTGCTCAACTGTTGTGTATGTGGAGCATTAATGAGACCTTTGGAGCTACCCAAAAAGACTGAAGCTACCAAAGAAGCAGCCGAGAAGAAAGTGAAGAAAAAACTTCTGGATTTCAGTGTGTTTAAAGATGGTGGTTTTGTAATCTACACGCTAGCAGCATCTATCATGGTGCTTGGCCTCTTTGTTCCCCCAGTTTTTGTTGTGAGTTATGCCAAGGATTTAGGGTATCAAGACACCAGAGCAGCTTTTCTGCTGACTATTCTGGGATTCATTGATATCTTTGCTCGGCCTGTTTGTGGAATGGTAGCTGGTCTTAAATGGGTTAGACCACGCTGTGTCTACCTCTTCAGTTTTGCTATGATTTTCAATGGATTTACAGATCTCATGGGTTCTATGTCTGTTGATTATGGTGGCCTGGTGGTCTTCTGCATTTTCTTTGGCATTTCTTACGGAATGGTAGGTGCTCTTCAGTTTGAAGTTCTCATGGCTATTGTTGGTACTCAGAAGTTTTCCAGTGCTATTGGCTTAGTGCTCCTGGCAGAAGCTATGGCTGTTCTAATTGGTCCACCATCAGCAGGTAAGTATTCCACTTTGTTCAGAATTCAAAAGAATTTCCATTGCATCCATTTACACAAATTGTATGATAAGGGAGCAGAGAAAAAGACAACATGAGTCACTCAAGAAGTGCATATTGTACTAGTGTTGCACATGCTTCAACTACTTCCTGCAGTTACAATCTGAAATAGTCCAAGACAGGGTGGGATGAATCTTTTCCTTGGGTCTGTTTCAGGATTTGTTGTATTGTCATCTGGAGATGCTACTCTTTCTCCACTGAAAGGCTACACTGGACCGTTTATTAGTAGATGGCTAATAATGTATGAGTTGAGTTTTATGCACACAGTGAATGACTTTTGTGAAGTTCAGACCTCTTTGGGTTTGGGATTCAGAATATGAAACCTGTCAATTTTCTTTGTAAAGTACTAGGATAGATTCTCTATACCAAGAAAAACATCTTACAAGGAGAATTATAAAACTGGACTGTTTTAAGGAAGGTAGACTGCTTCTATTGCACATCTCACAACCCAAGAATAAGGGGACATTACAAAATACTCTTAATTAATTTGACTTCAACATTGCAAATTAAGTACTAATCAACATAAATTTTTATAGACTCCGAACTGAAAAAAACCCACCCACCCAAAACCCACCAGTTCACTGCCATAGAATGTTTACTGTTTATACCAGACACTAAAAAGTATCTTTATTGTGACAGAACCTCTCAAGGGAAAAACAGTACTATGCATCACTTTCTCTGATTTTCAGGTTTGGAGAGGCACTTCCTTCACATCCTCTCTCCTGTTCTTTTACCTCCACCAAGTCCTGTGAAAATTCAACTCGACTAAAGCATCAGAATCAATTACTCCTGACTGACTTTTAGATAAAGATTTGCATTTTAAGCAGACAGTGCACTGCCCGTGTAGGAAAGGAAATGAGATTCGGAGCGAGAGAAAGCTGATGATACAGATTCTGTCCATGGAAGCAGACATTTTGATCAGAAATATATGGCACTTGTCTCATCTCTTGCATATGAAGGCTAGGCTGGTTTTATTCCAGTTGAACTGCAGAACTCTGTGTGTTTTGGGATATGATGTAATGTCAGTGAATGTTAAACGGATTGAAATAATAGAGAAATATTTTGTTAGAAACTTGTTAAAATGATATTTCAAAAAATTTGCTTAGATATTCACAGGAATAATTTAAATGTTTAAAAAAAGCAGAAGAAATTTAATTGCAAGATAATAACTTTTGTTAATTACCTGGAATGTTGTCTTTTTCAGGAAAACTCCTGGATGCAACGGGAAGGTACATGTTTGTTTTTATTATTGCTGGAATTGAAGTTACCACCTCAGCACTTGTATTGGCCTTGGGAAATTTCTTCTGCATTAAGAAAAAGTCAGAAGAACCACATACAAAAGAAGAAGCAGCAGAAAGAGAGGAATTAAACAAATCTGAAGACAAAACTCCTGAAGATGCCAAGGTGGACTCTATTGAAGTGGAGCAGTTTCTGAAAGATGAGCCTGAAAAAAATGGTGAAGTTGTAACTAACCCAGAAACATGTGTGTGAGCATGACAGGAAACCGAAACCAACAAAGTATTTAGAAAAGGAAGATTTTCAACACTATTTATTTTAGAAATAGAACTAGTTTAGGGCTGGGCCATCTGCTTTATTAACTGGAGGCCGGTCAGCTCATCAGGTCTCTCTGGAAGCTGATTAGCTAGACAACCGTTTATCAGAAAATTAGCTTTATCTGTAAAAGGTGGAGCACTGTGGTTATACTTTTTGTGTAAAACTAAAAAGCTTTTATAAACACAAGTAGAGTCTTGCTATGCATCGCCAGAAACTGCTCACTTTGAAGAGATATAGGAAGAATATATTTTAAGAAAACTGGAATTATATGTATGTTTTCAGACAATATTGTTGAAATTGCTGTGTTGTGCGGCTAAATATCATTTCCCTTTCTGTGTTCTTTGTGAAGAGGAAGAAGTCTGAGATGGAGAAAAACCTCAGGAACTTAAAGGTCTCCATTAGGTTTTTGAATTTCTTACTTTTTTTAGATTTTTAGATTAATTGGCTCAGCCCTAATTTAATTTTGATAATATCTGTTACTTTGATTTATGTAAATGTATTTCTGAGTTTTGTCTAAACCTGTAATCTTTGTGATTATCATCTGGAAATACTGTATGTGCAAAGGCACGTAACAGGTAACTGTCCTCAGCAGATCACACAAGTGGTATTCCGAGGTAGTAATAAAAGAAAATAAAATGAGCAGAATCGATCCTGACAGACTATAAGCAAAGTTAGCCTTCATTTTTCAGTATAGTTTCCCTGAAGCATTGAAAAATACTACAAGTAACATGGAGAAGATGGATATTAGGTTTAGTAGAATCTTCTGAA